TSCACTGGTATCTATTGAACTACAGCASTCCAATGGTTATTTCTCTTATTTGTAGAGCCTTGGTCGTGCGGCTGGTCCACCTAAAGTCGACGGCAACAAGATAATAGTGACTTATATMAACGGTACTAACAACGCTCAGACACGAATAGAACTGACGTGTAACCATGGTAGCCTGGTAAGCTATAATCATTTAATAGAGCGTATTTCGTTTGCCTGTTCAAATGCACGGATCACGGCACGGAAATGATACTAAACGGTCATGGAACCTCGCCTGGTAGTGGCGCCAAATGAAAATAGTGATTCAAGAACACGTCAAAGCACGGCACGGTTACCGCTTGAAAGTGTCGTGTTTTTTTTTTTGTACTGACAGTCATACGAAATCCGCTCTAAGCTGAATCTATACTGGTACAGTTTTAGTTTATTAAAAACGGCAGGCGTTCATGAAGTATGTGTATGATGTGAAGCTATTGCTATGCATTACTTTTTTCATCGTTATTTGGTATTTTCACAAGAGAATTTATCTTAATTTAACGTACAAATAAAACATACATATTGTTCCCTTATTGACATACGCAAAACAGTTTTAACTGTCCCCATTCATAGCACTTCGATTCTCGATGAATAACAAATTTTAGATAATAAATACAATTCCCTTTGATTTTGAAAATATTATGACTGAAGACGTTTGCGTTGTAGGGTAAGCCATTATTTGCGTACAAGGATAAGAACTTATACACCTTTACGTGGTCTACATCGGCTGCTTGTGTCAGTCAGGAAGTCGTTGATTTACCTCGATGCCGTGTGTTCGACAAAGAGACAGGATTCTACTATGATATCAGCTCACTACGAACTGCCAACCAAGATGGTTATGTCGCGGTAGGTAGATTAATACATCATAGTATTTAGATTAAACTTAGCAAATTTACGATAGTTTCGTGTGGTATTCCCTATTTTATTTACCACAGTCATCCAATTGCTAGTCTAGATTTTTGTAGATCCACGAGACAGAAATGCGCGATATATGTCATCATCTGACGCCCTGTTTTTCCATAGCTTGCTGCTCCAGACGGTGGCACAGTATATGCTTCTGTATGTCGTAGTCTCCCCGTCAAGCAGTGTACTGGTGCTGGTGTGTGCTTAGCACGTTCAACAGGCAACAATCAAGCCCTCGGGTTGTTTCAGTACATGACTATGACGTATATTTATGAAGAGAATATGCTGGTGATTAAATACTGTGATCGTCAGTGCGATTCTGGTGAGTTCTTATAATTGAGTATTATTATTCAAATGCTTGCTATTATTATTTATACAACTTTTCAGTAAAATCAGACGTTTTGATTGGTTGGCTTTCGTGTGTTATCAAAGTATAGRTACACGGATTACGTCAAAACTAATTGTTTGTTGTATAAAACAGATAGATCTCATTKTTCCGTGCGTGTGTACTCTAATAGATACACAGATTACGTCAAAATGTAGTGAGAACAACAGTCACGCACTCGACTGCGTCTCGTGCGTACTTTTTTGTTCTCWCTACATTTTGACGTCATCTGTGTATCTATTAGAGTACRCACGCACGGAAAAATGAGATCTATTTGTTAAATAACGTTAAATGAAAAGCCAGGAATCTATAGTGCAAAAAGTGATGTTTCACATGTGAAAATAACACGTTACCATGGATACTCGGTACAAAACTGTCCTATTTCTTGCCATGGATAAAAATTTGAGTGTATATAATAAACAGAACATTACATGGGCGCTTGGAGATACGAATATTATCTTTTCGTTTTCCATTGATGTCTACCTCGAAGATAAAATCTGTATCTCTTAAATATTATTATACAATGGTGATGACTAGCCTCCTCCACAGGAAACTCTTTTTTTTTCTCCCTTGGGCTTCCTTTGTAACGGTCATTTTGGGCGTCAGGGACTAGTGACGCCCCTTTTCTCGCCCCCATTCTCCCTCTTTTGACTCCTCAAAAAGACAGGAAGCCCGTGATTCTACAGGAAGCCCGTGATTCTTAGTGATGCCTGCGGAGGAGGCTAGGTGATTGACAACACCAATTACAACATAAACGATGAATGTTATTTTAAAAACTATAAAAAATTAAAATGCTATTGCAAAAGCGATGGAAATAAAAATAACACATAACAATAACAAAGAGGTAAAGGGTTGTATACCCAATAAAAAACAACAATAATGATAATACTAGTGACAAGGAAAATGACTATAAAGCATTGTATTTGCATTTTGAARCATTTGTTAACATCACATATGACATTGTCACACAGAACAAGTAAAGTACAAATCAAGAATAATGTTTATATGCGATGAGACTGTAACCTCTAGTAACACAGGATATTCTCTGGAAAGTATTGATGTAAGTAAACGAGGGATTTCCACCATATTATTTGTTGTGTTACCATAACCATATAACTACAATCGTTGATGCTTGGACCATTACAGTGAATTTCTTTATTTTAATGAACACTCGCGGACAATTCCCCCTGAACCCCTAAATGCAATGTTGTCACAGAGCATGTTAGCATAGTGCACAACTACCAAAACAAGACCAAACATTGATGAAAAGGGGACAAGAGTGAGAATTCTGAAATGAGAACAATGTGAGGCTGGAGGATAATAATTCTGGTTGTAGGTCTGAGTTTGCGCTGTTTATCAGAGCTTTCATTCAAAACAAAAATAAAGCATAAAACAAGATATTTAAATAAAGTGTATGTTTGACAGAGCCGTGGCGTTGACATCATATGGAGAACAAGCCTTGTTTGCTCACCAGCTCAGGAAGAGTGTGTGTTTAAAGATCAAGATCACTTGTACGACCTGCAGCTATTGTCCAGTAAAAAGAAGAGTTGGCATTACATCACCTCTACTGGAGATAAGTACGTTAAACGTATACGTAATGGTAATATGGCTAACGTTTATTACGTTTAATGTCGTTAGATAAGTACGTTTACGCATTGATGATATGGCTAACGATAACATTGAGCGTTCAGTGTCTTTAGATAAATGCGTTTACTCATAGTTATACGCATAGTTAAGATGGTTTTCTTTAAAATGAAATTTCCAAGAAAAATGTCTTTACGTATTGATGATATCTGTATGCTTCTTCTATGGCGGTGATATTATATAGTGTTTCTAGAAGTTCCTAATCTATATGTAATTGTGTGCAGGTATTGGTTGAACCTGTGTCGTGGTATTAACGACCAGACAGGCTGTCCCCGGTCGGCAACAGTTTGTGCACAATTGGGTAGCAACAAAAACATAGTAGTATTGGGATATGGGAAAACTCAAACCATGTCAAAGAGTAGTAAGTGCACCCGTACAATTTAATGTCTACACGTGTGATTATCAGAGTATATTTTATATACTTGTTCATTCACAACTTACATTTTGAATTAAAAAAACCCGGCAACTTATCTATCAAAGCATTACCATTTTTCAATTAATTGTTTTTTTATTGTAGATCAAAGTCAGGCATTGCATTGCTAATTCTTGTGTTCAGATTCTTTATTAATTTTCCATTGGAAAATCAAATACTCTAATTGGAGAAGAATGATTCTTTGATTTGACTGGTTCAAGAACTCCCATGATCCATCAGTATGCATATATTATACAGTACGACTCAGATCGTCTCCTACGAGAGGCTTCGATTTTCCTTTGTGCCTTATATTATTACCGTCATTGATATATTTGATGTATATTTTGCAGCTCCAACCGACAAACAGATTCTGGTACATTACACGGGTCAGAGTAACATACCTGTGTGTACCAAGAGCACGGTTAAAGCACATGTACTGTTTCAAATGATATGTGGACAACATGTTGGAAAACCGTCTCTTTATCAGTGAGTAATGTAATGGCGTATGTAAATTCCACACTTGTGTGTGAATTATCGCGTGCTGATTGGCTGATGAGAGAGTCAATAAAAAGACATTCAATTCAAAACTGTGMGCAATCTGTTAACTTGAAAAACGTATTATAAACCTTATGAAGGACCCCCAAAGACCTTCGTGCTTCCAAGTTCGTCCTTCAGACTCAGCCGAGAGTCTGTATAGTCGTCCCAATCGCTTAAAAAAGCGTTTTGCGTTATTGTCATTTACCTTGAAGGAACGAGTATAAAAGAGCAATATGCAAAGGCACGTTTTGAGACTATCCGGACGAATACATGGACACCAGTAAACATATTAATACGGAAGGGAAGCTCGATTTAGGCTCCTCGTTGTTTTATGCAGCGCTGATACGTTAATGGGTTATCTCTTTTCCAGCTGTACAGCATTTGGTAAAGGGTGAAGAGGGTGTCCCAGAAAACGCTTTTAATAGACCAGACCAGCCCATGTGACTTTTTAAAAGAGAAATTGCACGCWTTAAAGAGTGTCCTGAAGCAATGTTATATGTATTTTATGAAATTATATTTGCCCAAGATTGTATCTATTATATCTGACATCAGATTGAAGCACTGTTGTAAATGGAGATTCTTAATGTGACTTGTTTCAGTGTGGATGCATTGAGCTGCACTTTTACATTCAGATGGACAACAGTTGCTGCTTGTCAGCTTCACAGGTAACGCTATATTACAGAGTTCCTTCCTTTGTTTTTGCTTTCTGTACATATTTGATGATAGTATCCACCAAACTACAGGCTATCACAAATCCAGCCTTCTGATTGGCTACTGAACTATGGAATATTCATGATAGACCATGGTTGTATCGATTGCAGCCGAAATAGTAGAACGGCATGTGTCTTTGTTCTTGGCATGGCCTTTTACCAAATTGACTCATTGTTTGGTGGTTATCAGACTCTACACGGTCTTTGTGATAGTCCTCCCCAGTAATTGCTCACAGTTATGTTGCCGACTATAAAGTCTCATTGTCTACTTCATGTTATGTCATAACTGGGGTTGTAATTTAGGAGTATCTAGTGGATCATAAAATATGTTGCTGACTATAAAGTTTACTGCATGTTATGCCATAACTGGGGTTGTAATTTAGGAGTATCTAAAATATATCATACCCATATCCTTCTCAGTTTCCAAACGGTAAATCAAAGACTGGGTCCTTAAACGAATGATTCTTTGATTTGATTGGCTCAAACATTCCCCTGCATCATATCCTACGACCCGGTATCATCTCCAACCATCGATTTTCTGTTTGGAAACTGAGAAAGATCTGGGTACGGGAATGAAAATGTTTATGCAGCACGCAAATCGAATTTATATCTTTTTACAAAATGGTGACCAAGTAAGGTATGAAATACAATCTGTTTACATACTTTTTCATGTTTAGTCGAGAAGCGGTTCCAATGCCCAACTGTCGCGTCCAGCATCCTTTAACGGGAMAAACTGTAGACTTCAGTAAACTTGACAATGGGTAAGAACTACATCTTGCTGTTGTTTCTGTAATAATCTGTTTTGTGTGGTCTTGCGGTTATGTATTGGTGATGTGGTGATGTGGCGTTGTAAAATATGTAAACTGGTGACTTTAATTTTAATAGAAAAACCTACGGCCGTTATGTTGTAGAGCTGAAGACAATTTAGTTGTAATCTTTATAATTCTATGTCAATGTTGTAATAATTTCTAACTTTTTTTAGCCCGATCACAGTCGATACATTTGCATTTCGCATCTGTGATCCTTTACCGGGTAATTACCTGCAAACACTGTGTGCCGGTAAATGGGTGTGCAACAATGGTATTGGCTATGACRCCACACCCAAACTTTACTATGAAGGTATTTAAACTGATTGACGACCAGTCACACATACTATCTAGTGTACGAACTGTGAGATTACGATTGCTTTAGTTTAACTATATTGTATTTTGTATTCAAGACAATATCTTTGAGCTGTGGTTTACTGCCAAGCGTCCATGTGATCAATCTCCTCAAGGCAAAGAAACGTTCATTATTAACTTTCAATGCGACGAATCAATAAAAGGCTCGGTAAGTGCGCAGCCATCCCATGAACCATTGCACGCTGTCACATACCATGCTTTCGTTTTCACTTACGTAAGAAGCCTGAACTGTTATTTTTAAGGAGTTGATATAACTTCAAGAAAAAAGGTCCCTGATAACTCCTTTTCTGGAGTAGATTTAACTCCACCACTTTAACTGCACATGGGAAAGTACTCATATTTCTGAGTGTTGATGTCAACGATTTTCAGTGTATCTAAAACATGTATATTTTTCAGGGAAAGCCTATCTTTGAGTACGATTCCACGAGTTGCCACCATGTATATACCTGGTCTACTCCTATTGTGTGTATAAAAGACCAGTAAGTTCTTAATTTATTTAACCGGTCTTTGTTCAAGAGTGAATGAGTTGATCCTGCTTTCCTATATCATCATTATCAGTACACTTAGCACCATGTGGTGCATAAGGCCTCCGTTGCGCTTCTCCACCTCGATCTGTTACAACTGTTCTCACTTCTGCCCAAGTTGTCCTCCTCCAAGTTGTTTTCGGTCTGCCTCTTCGTTTTTTCACTTCTGGGGGCATAGTTAATGCTGTTACCTCATGGCTGCTCTGATCTTTCCTGAGTATATGCACAATCATTGTCCATCTTCTCATATTTTTATTGTCTTAATTTCACCTTCACATATCGTCCGTCCACTACGTCTCAACGGTTTTAATGAGCGACAAGTAGAAGTTTACTTATCGATATCRCGGGAAGAAAAAAAGGAAAAAATTCAGCGTACAAAATAACACAGCAAAGCGGACAGTAATGACTGTATCATAGATCATGTTGGTTTATTCGATCAACAGGAGCCGTGTTATCATTGATCCTCWCCCCAGTCCTCATTCATCTGGATCATCTGCTGGCAAAAAGGCGGGAATCGCGTTTGCTGTGATAGCAGTGTTGCTTGTCGTTGCTGCTGCTGTATTTGTACTGCACAACCGACGAAGAAGGTGAGTTAGTCTTATATCAAGCCTAAATATCTAAAATATTACTAAATTGTTATTGATATGAGTGTTAGTCAACATTTTCTCTGACAAATTCAAGCCAATTTCTTACGAAATAGTGTCCGTTGCTGGATTGGAATTGAAATTATTTAAGCAACAGTGACTTTATGTTTTCTCCCAGACAATCCTTGGTTCTTTTTGTACGAGAAAATGTCAGAAAAGTACGAAACAAGAATACCAGTGGTTCTAATGCTGTCTACAAATATCAGAAGGTAAATCGTTATGACCAAATAATATCAAGGCCGCGGCGGTCTAATGGTTCTGCAATGATTTAAGATACTACCTATAAATGAAGATCATCGTTAACGTGATGCAGAAACCTAGGGACTTGAAACGTGGAACTCCGTGCCAACCGTTGGAACATTCAAATCTAATTTGCATCTCATTCAGTCCTTTTTTTGGAACAATTCAATT